TAAACACTATATCTACTCAATGATTAAACTAATAAAATTAAAATAAACATTCTATGCCGGTGTTCTCGGTTGATGATTAATATCAATTAATTGTATTTTCAATTCAAACTAATGATACACTATGTTTATAGACTTATAGTTACCTCAACTACCTATATCACCTATGGAAGGCAATACATAATACAAGTATAGTAGTTTATAATGGAAATTCATATTTTCTTTAAATATTGAATATATTTTAAAAACCTCGGAAGAATATATGCTGTATAATTGTGGGTTCGGTGGCGATCAACAAAAAGTGGGGGGTGAAGGGACTAGTATCTTACTTATCGAAACCTAAATCCAATTTTTAGATGCAATTCTCAAAGCAGAAGATTTAAACATTTTTACTGCTCCATAAGGTGATAACAGAGACAACAAAAATTAATTTAAAAAACATCTCAGTATAAAACTAATATTTAAATTTTGCGCTTCGCTCAGTCGAAAATATAATTTGTAAAAATATGTTATCTATATTATGATTTTTTTTTATTTTAATTTCTCTCTCGAGGTCTGAAAACTTTCCTATTTAGATTTTTGCAGATACCTAATGAGAACGTAACCTTTATTTAAAAAAAAATTAAAAATTAAGAGAAATAAAACTATTGATTTTTTAATTAGGTGATATAAAATAATTATTAAATAAAGCGGATCTCACAAATGTAATAATCGTTAAAATACTCAAAAGTGTTGATTAAATGAAAATAAATCTAAAAATATTACACTCATAAACTGTAAGACTCAATATAATTCAAATGTTCAATGTTCATAAAACAATATAATTATTGGTCAAGATTTTTGATATATTGTAGTTAACAAGTATTATTAGTTAATAGTTAGAATGTTGATTTTACAATTATCATCCTTGTACAAATATTTATAATATTATAAAACTCAAAATGAAATTCTCATTTTATTAAAATATTTATATTGGCAACTATACCTATTGACGTTATAAAGTATAAAATGTGGCTTGGTGAGGCGCTGTTGTACGCTCAATCTGCGGCAACGCTCTGAGCGTACGTACCGGCCGTCGTTGCTAGCACTCGGATGGGTGACCATCCGGGGTTTATGGCAACATATCGTTGCCACCTATACAAACTTGTTCCAACCAACCGTGCCCCCCCCCCCACAGTACCAGGCTAATGACCTTAGTAGTTGAAGCCTTAATCGACAAAAAAAATATATATATATAAAATATAATGTAGTCTATTTTAATATTTGTTATTTTTGAAAATAATCGCTTTTACTGCTGTAGGTATCTTATAGTGTGAAACTTCAGAAATAATAGCTACATAGTATAATAAATAATCTTTGAACACTTATAATAATAAAACATAAAATAGTGTATTTATTTTTAGATTCGAAATATTTAAAAAAGTCAATTCGAGTTTATTCAGAAACATATTGGTTTATGATTATAATAAGCATCGTTTAGTAACGATCTCAAAACTTTAGCTTGCACTTCAACACTTGTATCCAAAAACGCGGTATCTTTTATTATTTTATCAAATAATAATAATGACACATCAGTACATCACTGTAATACCAATATATGTGGTATAATATTAGAGCTAGATACTCCTGTATCCACTCGCTATAAGTCATACCGATAAGAAAATTATTTTATTTTATATTTTTGTTAGACGTATAATCTAAATCAAATTCACTTAATAAGTAAATATGTGATGATAATAATCAATGAATAAAATAGTGTGAAAGAAAAAAACTAATAAAAGCTATAGAATAAAATTATCATTAGTCATTGCTCACTGATAACAATGATAACACTTATAAGTTAATATTATTTATGCACATTTATTGACCAATGTTCTAAGTCATCACGACACTATTTAAGCTTCATAGGTTTACCAGCAATTAATAAAGGTAGAGGATACGTTTCGAATAAGTGGATTAGGATGAAATGGTAAATGATTATGGAATCTTATTTTAGCTTTTCTTTTGGCTTCTTCATATCAGTGATAAGTTAAAAATTAGTAGATTTAGGTGGGATGATATATGAAATTTTTTTTTTTGCTTTTTTTTAGTTTTTCCAAATGCAGGTTTCTTTGTTTTCAGAAATATGTTTTAAATATGTGTGTGTTATTAAGTTGGATCTTAGGGAGGGGTAATATTAATTTTCTAATGGCCATATTCTAAAAAGATAACATTTTATTTGAATTTTATTGTATATATTTTTCCACAACCATTGTGTGTGTGTTTTTTTTATTAAATAAGTAGTAGAGAGTTTTCAGTAAGTACAGAGAGCAAAAGTTTATTTAATCGTAGTCGGAATATGATTAAATGATTGTTTTTTTTTATCTAATACTAACATTAGTAAATTCATAAAAATATTACATTATGTACAATATAAATAGGTATATATTATAATATATAGAGATGAAAATAATGTAGAGTATATTCTTTGCACTTGTGCGTGAATGATGGAAAATAAATAATTTTTTCCCCACAAGTGACAGACTCCACTGTCTACTGATTCGTGTAATATCACCGTCTTTATATCTCACACGAACGTTATATTGCTGAGTGTGATCCGTGGTAGGTAAGTTATACAACACGAATAAACCAAACATTCTATACACGTATTGTTATGCCGGCGGGGATAACAGAACGTGATCACTTGTGTGTCGATGGGGGTAGAACGGCAATGTGTTGTGTACTATTAAATTTTGGATATCTCCAATTTTGCCACTGTTGTTGTTTTTCTTCTGCGCTTGTACTGACTAGTTGTATTTTGTCAGATTATTATTGTTTTTCAAAGAAAATGAAGTGGACCGCAGAGAAACTGTGTCGTATGCGTATGGAGGCGGTGTTGAATGCAGAGGCGTAAAATTTTTTTGCGATTTTAGCGATTTTAAGTAACGACGGCCTCACGAAATTCAATAATGTTGTGTGGGCTCTACCTATGTACAAATCACAATAGAGAATAGATATTAGACCAAGCATATTCAGGATGCCTTCAAAGCAACGATGCGTCTATTATAATTTAAAATATTAATTTTAGACATTTTTAACAACTCTAAAAGACTATATTTTTAAATAGTTTCTTAGATTTTTACCATTCAATTTTAAATATTCGTTGAAATATTAAGGTTCCTTAAAATGTTAATGTAATTATGAAAGTTCGTCGAGTAGTGTCGCAAACTTTTTTTTAAGAATAGAAATACATTTTTCTACTATAATTTTTTGACAGACGAACTTTAAAATGTTTATCTTAAATTCTAAATCGAAATTCAAATGAGCTTTACTTCAAGTTATTAAACTAAAATGCGAGCTGTGTGTAGCTACTACATTCCTACTGGTATTAATGTATTATATAACAGTATAAAATATTATAATATATTACGTTAAATTTAATATAATGCTTACTAAACTATATATTTTTTTAATAGTTACACAATTTTAATGCATTGATCCTAATTAGTAATTATGATATTTTAAAACTATCATAGCCCCGTATTATATATCATCAACTTATATATATATTATAGTATTATAGGTAATATGCTAATAAACCAGTGTTTCATAATATGGAGTGTACCATGATGAATGATGATATTATAAATGTGTGCAGTGAAAATTCAAACTTTTTAATTTTGCCCACAAAGCTATAAAAACAACTAAAAAAATGTAACACAAATACTCGTATATAATGTCACTCTGCTATACTGTAGGTATACAACTGTCCATATATTGTATTTTTAAGATTTTCAAGTTTCTGTAAGAAAATAACTAATAATAACCCTTGTAATAAATTATGAAACTTTAGATTTTTTTCATAACTAAAATTATTTGAAAATTATTATTATTTTTTTTTTTTTTATGAATTTTGTGCAATTAAACTAGATCATTTTAATACTTTTTAATTGCTGTAAGAAAAACTTATGAAGCAAATAATAATGTGTAGAGAGGAAAAAGGTTTGGGGACACTGGCATAGTCTATATTATACGTAATAATTAGAAAGTACTCGTATGAAGCTCGGTTTATATACGTCGAAGTTACAAAAAAAATGATCTCCTTACAAATGGATGGTTAAAAAAGTGTGTTTCTTAATTGAAAACAGTTAATACCATGTATGGTAAGAATACTCGGCTATGTCTAATTATTTGAAATTATGGTTAATTATGACCAGAACTAAAATAAATTCATTATCAGAAGAAAACGATGACGATTATGCTTGGTTATCACCCTGTATATATACTACTCTATAGGTATAATATATGTATATAGAGGGGGGGGGTAGAGAGATGTAACCTAGTGACTTTATAAAACTGTTTGCATTTTCAAACGAGCGGTTTTTATTCAATGGCACTTCAAAGCATGTGTATATAGATAGGTAAAGAAAGTGTAAAAGTGATAAATAAAAAATACACGCAAACCCCGTCTTCTATTATAATTTATTATTGCGAACCCTCCGTTTAATCCCGTATCGTTTTATCTGTTCATTTCTTCTTTAGTAATAATTTAAAAGTTTACAATATTAAGGTGCTAATTTCATTTATAAAAAAAAGTTATCTGGCCTCTGCATTTAGAGGGGCGTCTTCAAAACTAAATATTTAATTAATATTAATTTGGGATTGATAAAAAACGAAAAGTTTGAACACATAAATCACGATGTTTATTAATGTTTATTTGTGCACTATATTGATGTCAATCTATATATTATATGCTATATGCACATTTTATAACGAAATATTAAAAACGTTGCTAAGTTCAAATGTATTTGCGTATCTCGTTGTTTTGTATTAATAGGTATATACGTAATATAATAATATAAATAATATAAATATTATTATAGCAATATTGTGTTTCGTTCTGTTTAAACTAAATATAAAATAAGCATCAGTGACGCTGGTGTTTATAGTCTTACTCGTTTACATAAAATATCAATATAATATTGTTAAAACACGGTGGTAATAATAAATACATTTGTGTTTAGGGTCTCACGTTGAACCTGAACTCGTCAGCGAGAACAATGAAAAGCGACAACAACTTGGTTTTGCAGAGAGTGACCAGACATGTTGCTGGCAGATACGCTTGTCGAGCCACCAATTCCGAAGGAGAATCGTACAGCAACGAACTCAGTCTACGGATTAAATGTAATATATCTATCTATTTATATAATAAATGTATAACAATTAATGTACGTTTGTAGTGGACTTATAGACTTGGAAACAATTTAACCAATTGCCAAAAATGTGTGTACAGGTATTCTTTGAGATTTTTTTTCAACCCATATATTATGTTGCTATAGGGCGGATATCATGGACGTTTTGATTTAGATCATAGAAATCTTAAAAATATTTTATCACAATAGACAGTGTTGTCATTGGTTGAAGAAATAAAAGAAATGTTGATGTAATCTTAATATAAAAATTAATGATATGTTTTGCTAATACAAATTATACAATTACTCAAATAATTTTGACGAACATTTCAGAGTTGTTTTTAGTTATCAGAAAAATGTAAAATTTGTTTGAATCACGTTTCAAAATATATAAAGAGCTCACCACAGGTGCATTGTCAATCTTAGTCAAATTAGGTCACCAAGATAGGTGCACGGACACCGGTTTGCCTGTGAACTAAACACACTAAAACTGAGATACCACTATAACGATATATTTATGACTGTATTCGATCATTTTTTTCCGCTCGAAGTCAGATTAGTTAGTTAAAATTATAAATTATAATACATTTTATACTTATACATACTATTTTATACTATACACGTAATAACATGTAATAATTTATGATATTAAAATCAATACGTACATATAATACGTAACCTGCAGAGTGCTTAGATAAAAGAGAAGTGTATGATTTTATGTTTTGAAATTTACAACTTTTCTGAAAGGTTATGTATTAGTTCGATGCCCAACAGCTACTATTTTTATAATTCAATCAAGAATTCTCCGAATTCTTGATTGAGAATGTGCTTTACTATCGGTGTAAGCGCAATCGTCACGTCATGATCACATTAATTAGATCGTGATTTTGTTGAAAAAAAACCATAGCACGCTACTCCATATTTTTTCTCGGTAAGGAAAATCTATGAATCGCATAAATATGTTTTTGTCAATAAGTAACCATGACAACGAAAACGTTACGCAAAATTGGTAAGTCGGGAAATCAAAATATCTGTAGTCTGTACCCCGCTCAAAAACATATTATTTAGATATGAAAAAATATTAAACAGATTTTATCCTTGAATCGCAAAGGCGATATCATCCTGATCAAATATTTTATAATAATATCATGTTAGTTTAAAAGATTGTCAATTCATGTCAGTGTATATATTATGCTACATTTTATACCCAACAAATTAACGTGTCATTAGTCCCATAACCCTATTGTAATTTGTTGAGGGGAATAAGTATTTTTTGTGTCCCTTTAATTAACCGGCTGAAACTTTACCTACAATATGTGTTATACACCTATAGCATATTTTCATTATAATACAAATAATTAGTCTTTATCCTTATTCAACGTAACGCATCGTTACACGCATCGAACAATATTTTACTCAAGACCGAAGTGTTGTATTAGGTTTGAATATACATTTTTTTTTATATCTACTGACCAACTACACAACTACATACTACTATTTACTACTAAAATCGTATGTACCATATTAAACTAAATATTTAACATCTATTCAGTCGACTGCACTACAATAACATTAGATATTTAGAGATGCATTTTATGTGATTGATTGTTTTAAAATTGTAGGCACACTTCCACGTCGGTATACTTCCAATCCGTGCAGTAGACCATCAACCGACCATCGCCTGTAAAATTGCAATAGCGGAAATCGCTCTGAGTTAGCCAGTGGTCGATCTGAGCACGTGGCGGGCCCTCGAATATACCCACCGACACACCCCCGGAACTGCATACTACTGGGGAACGAATCTTTATCACGCGGAAACGCCGCCCGCTAAAAACAAATTATTTTTTAACTCGTTCCACTTGAGTTATCGTTTCCCCCCGACAAAATGCCCACTATACGTACCCACGCACGCGACATCGCACGCGTGTCCGTTGCTGTGCGCTCGTATGTATATTAAAACAAATGCTCTGACGTTGGCTACCTACTGTATGACTATTTTTGTGGGGTGTGTGTGTGGGTGGGTGCTGGTGTGTATGTGCGAATGCGTGTAGGTGATGCGCGGCCGAGTGCGTACAGTCCTGCGGTAGAACGTGCCGAGGGGATTTTCACGACTTAACCCTTCCCCCCCCCCCGACGTAGTTTTGCCGGTTCCGGTCATACCGACGTTCGGCGCGGGGCGAAGCTTCCCCCGCGTCTGCCCCGGTCACCGTCGTGTTTCCTTTATTGTTACAATAAATAAAAACATTTTTTAACAATAAAATAACCGAACGAAAAAAAAAAATCCCCGTTTCCTTGAGGGGTCACGGCGTGGCAGCGGTGGCGGTTGTGTGTACATTTTACTCCGCCGCCGGATGTACCTAAAACCCATCCGTTTTGTTTTGAATACCACAAACGGGCTACTCGGTGCGCCGGACAATATAATATTTCTGTTATTGTTATACCGTTATTATTATAGTATGCGCTCGTGGCCAAGTAAAAATAGTCATATAATCGATCGCGCTGCGGCTGCCCGGGGTGCATGATAATTTGATAAATATTTCTGTAGTGGCCTGGACAATAATCACTGAATTGTTTCGGTTTTTTTTTCGCGGGACCGTTGACCGTTCTTGGCATTTCAATAAAATTGCGCTGTGCTAAAACACACGCTGTTAACATTAAGCCTTGGTCGAGTCGTCTGCAGTGCAAATCGAAGTGACGTGTATATATTTCTAGACGTCAACAAGTCAAGTCCTGGTGTATGCTATCGGTCCGTATAATACGTCTATGCTCGCTCGGTACCTGTCCCACCTCTCTCGTAAGTGGGCGTTGGCCGAGAGAATTGACTGAATCGTTCTATATTCGTGTCTTTATAAGAGGAGGCTGATGGGGAGTAGGAACGGGCCTCGTCGGTGCATTGTAGTAATAATTGTTATTTTGCAATTGCGATTTCTGCTACCATCCCAAAGTTATACAATAACACAATGGAATACTATTATAATTTACAACGAATATCCAACTGGAAATAGTGTAATGTAGGCAATACATACCACCAGAAAACTTGTGGTGTCGGGAACATTATCAATATACTACGATCACTAAAAACGAAGACGAGGAACCCGGTTTGAATAGAATATAGATTGTTCAATTGCCAGAGTCACCACATGAGTGATAATGGGAGACGACCGGTGCCAGTGCGCAGTGACATACTATCCATGGTGACTCGGCATAAGGGTAAGATCTGGTTTGTAGTATAATAAACAGTGCGGGATTGGCCGATAGCCGGTGTGTTCTGAGGAGCGCCAAGATGATAGGTCTGTGCGATGAGTGTTACGGACAATTGTGGCTAGTGACCGGAGGAAAAAGAAAAATACTGTCTTATAAATTAATAATAGTTGAAATTTAGCTGATACGTTTCGGGACGTACTAGATGATCGGTGTCTAGTATTAATGAAGTCCGGATGAACAGTGAATCACTGGTCAAGTCTCATTTCATACAGATCATAGCCGTTTAGTGTCAAGTGGACATTTTTTCTAGAGTATAATAAAAATGTTAAGACCTTACCTGTATATATATACCCTTGTATGATGTTCCGATTGTCGACACTTAGTAGCCTCTATTAGGATTGGCTCCGTCTAATGGTCGAAATATGACTTCGTTGAATATAAAAAAGTATACTGAACCATTGTTCGGTCATACTACAATATTATTATACTATAGCTGAGACTCCAGCGTAGATTTACCTACAGTGAAATGATTCAGTCCTTTGGCATTTCATACTTTTATAGTGGGTAAATTATTATTATTTCGACTTGACTACGATGCAGCAATATTGCAAACAATACTTATCCGTGTACAACAATATTATATATCATAACCCGATGATTACGATTGGGTATTGATGTGTATTCACTATTCAGTGCGTGTGATGAACGATGTGTGGACAAATTAGTTTGTGAAAAAAAATATTATTAATATTATTGTTATACTTTCAATTGTACCAGCTTACCTTATGACGGCATCATAATAATTTATTACTGAAGAGGTTGATTTGGGTCGATGTGTTTTTTCTTCACAGACGTTTCACGCGCTGCAATGTGATCACACACGACATTTGCAATTCGCGTATTTCGAATCGGCGAGACGAATACCACCTACCGGAAACCTCCATCCGTCCAGAATTTGGTCCAAATACAACACACAATACATATTATTTTATAATTCGCACACGATGTGTGCATGTACGACATTTAACGGGTTTTATTTTTCCGGGGAATACCGCAATATCCGGTAGTCGTCGGCGTACCACATTCAATATACCCACACTAGCGAGCCAGGATTTTCCAATAACGCGTCCACTGCAACTCCGTGGACGTGTCTCAACAATTAATGTGTGCGTGAAATAATGAATCGTTTTCGGAAGGGGTCCCATCCATCAATTAAGGACGGACCATTTCCGCGGTCGGCGCTGTGGTATTTACGTACCAACATAATATGTACACGCACCCACACTTACCTACCGATGTACACATACCTAGCTACCAAAAAGAACCCCGTCTCCCACCTGCACACTGTTCTTTTCGGCACCCACCAGCGGCACTTATTTAATAATGTCATGTATACCTACCCATATGCACTCTTCGACGTGAATTTTGTTATTCACGCATTTTATATGAGCAGCGACTGCCAAAGCATGTAAGCGCGTGTTGCGTACACCGCGGTGAAAATCAGATACAAAAAACAAAAAAAACAAAGAGAGACAGGGAGAGACGACATCGTGTAAAATGTAAATGCGTTTTCTCGAACTCGTGTGTGAGGGTGTAACACGGGGGAAAAGCCTATTTCTATAGATAAGCGGGTCGAATGTTTGGAATGAAAAATGTACAGGCGTAATATAATATTATTACCATATTGTGGAACGGTGGCGGCCACCGACTATATAATAATATATCTGTACGAAACGATCCCTTTCTCTCTCGTACTCTATCTCTTGTCGTCGTATGAAAATAACGTCG